ATCACCATCGTCACTATCACCATCATCATCACCATCACCAACATCACTATCACCACCATCATCACCACCATCACTATCACCATCATCATCATCACCATTGTCACTATCACCATCATCACCACCACCATCACCATCACCACTACCATCATCATCACCACCACTATCACCATCATCATCACCACCACTATCACCATCACCACCACTATCACCATCATCATCACCACCATCACTATCACCATCATCATCACCACCATCATCATCACCACGATCATCACTATCACCATCTTCACCAGCATCATCACTCACCATCATCACCAGCATCATTATCATCACAATCATCATCACCATCACCACCATAGACCATGGTCATAATCTCAAAATTTTATAATAAATTTTTTGCCACCTTTGTCATCATAGTCATCAGATCAATTTGAGTATTTATAAGTGTTTATAAAATATTCATCCAGTAGAAATTCACTGCTCAGCTTACGTATCACCAAAGTTATATAAGAAAAGTATAGTTTAACATCTGTTTTAAAAGCTGTACTGTATCATACTGTATTGCATGAAACATCTTGGCAACAGATATTGAAGGGTTCATCAGGATACTATCTCGGCTTTGTATATAATTTTGGCCTCTTTGATGTCGTCAAGACTTTGTACAAGCTTAAGTTCAAGCTGAGCAGGACTGGGCTTGTTGTCAGGTCCAGCTATAGCTGAAAAACAGTAGCATTAAAATAGTTGTGTTTGTGGGTTATCAGTAGGGTGTCGAAGGGTGTAGGTAGGGTGTCAGTAGGGTGTAGGTAGGGTGTCAGTAGGGTGTAGATAGGGTATCAGAAGGGTGTAGGTAGGGTGTCAGTAGGGTGTAGATAGGGTGTCAGAAGGGTGTAGGTAGGGTGTCAGTAGGGCTTAGGTAGAGTGACAGTAGGGTGTTGGTAGGGTGTCAGTAGGGTGTCAGTAGGTTGTCAGTAGGGTGTTGGTAGGTTGTCAGTAGGGTGTTTTTAGATTGTCAGTAGGGCGTTGGTAGGGTGTCAGTAGGGAAATGGCATGCTTTAGTAGACAGTCCACAATACTATTCAAATTACCTTTCGCACTAGCTATTGTTCTTTTTAAGATAGTTTGTACAGTTGACATAGTCTTTTCACAGGCCAGCTGCAGGTCATGGGGATGTCGATATGACCAGGCTAACAGTAGACTCGTAAACAAGTCCCCAGTCCCAGTAAACACCACGTCAAGCTTTGGAATTTCCATTCGGATACAAACATGCTTGCCGTCTAATTTGAGAATAGAAAACATTCAAATTTTGAGACCTCACTGGGTTGAAGACTGCTAATACAGCGGCAGATCCAGAACGATTGCAAGGGGGGTGACTGTTACCTAGAAAGGTATGACAGTGTCCTTTTTAGGTCTTACCTTATCCTTTAGACTAGCTACCCAATTCAGCCCTACCCCCCTCCCCCTCCCCCTCCCCTCCCTGGATTGGCCCTTGGCAATAACGTTAGTTAGTTAGTAGTACCTTTATAGGAGCTTCCAAGTGCTACAAGCATGTTTCTCTTGCTTATTTCAGAGCTGGTTATCACAACTGAATTAGTACCTCTGTCATGTAAGACTTTCATTGCCTAATAATTGAATCCAGAATTTATTGCAACTAAGATTAATAATGAATGACAATATATTCATTTTGATAATGATATGCATTTGCATGCTTCTATGCACAGGCATTTGGATACCAAATGAGCTTTACACACCTTATTTGGTAAAAAATTCCAGCTTCATATCGAAAAGCCTGTTCATAGAAGTATGTGAATACTCTAAATGTGGTCATACTTTTGTGTGTTGTGCTGTAACATCACACCAATAGACCTTGGCACGGCGTAATGTTGTCCCATTTCAGACCACGTGTCATTCCCTTGAGAATAATATTCTTTGTTTGAGTTGTATCCATATCCATGTGTCTTCTCATGTGCAACCGAGCGCAAACCTTAAACAAAAAAATGATACTCTGGGGAATGACACGTGGTCTGAAATGGGACGACATTACGTCAGAGCCGAGGAGGTCTATTAATAGGGATGGTCCCTAGATGTTGGGGTTTTTTGCTGCCGCCAATCAAAAAATACTAACTCTGGCCATTGGAAATTTGATTGACGGAAGGGAAAAACCCAGACGCCTCAAATTATAAGTATTTGTCTGCTCGTGTATTATGAAAATGGTTTTAATATAGATAGGAAAGGGATCATGACATCAATGGATACCTTAAATGCATCTTCTTCAGTGTTGATTTTAATTCCTGTTAACATTCTGTGGGTCATAGAAGTGATAGTAAATGTCAGTGTTGATACAAACACTGAACCCACAAGTATGGGTAGAGCAGGACAGACAGACAGACAGAAACTAGATAGACAGACAGACGGATGGAAGGACAGACAGATGGATGGAAGGACAGACAGATGGATGGAAGGACAGACAGATGGATGGACAGACGGACAGAGGGTCAGATGAAGACAGAGAGGCAAAGCTTAAATCACTAACTCAGAAAGTGAATGAATAAATAAATGGATAAGTTAATTAATTAATAGTAAAAGAAATGTAGGATTGAGTGAGCGTGCAAGGAAACGGATGATTTATAGGAAGAATGGAGGTATGAATACAAGCAAAACATCTTTATTAGCACTCCATAAAATTATGTTATTAATACAAGGATAGATTAATGAATGAATAGGTGAAATGAATAAATGCATGGACAGATGAATGGACAGACGGACAGAAGGATGGATGGACACCACCATACAGCTTCAAAACCAGCACCAACTTACTCAGCTTCAAACTGGTTAGGAGTAACAATGTCAGCCAATGGCACAAGTTCGTCCCGGTAGACTGGTAACAAATCCTCTGGCACATACTGTTAATTGAAGAAATTAGAATACATCTTATAACAACATATCAACATACATATTATTCATCTTACGGCGCTTCTAAATCAAATGTGCGAAATCGTAAAAATTTCTATCAAGACAAAATAAGGTTTTGATGGATGTCAACCAAAGTGTTTTCATGACATTGCTGGAAAACACAAGGCTTTTGAGGGCACGTGCCTATGGAATGTTGTGAAAAYRCCTYGATTGACRTCCACCAAAAGCTACTCCATYRCAACGGCTAATTGTAGGATTTCAYGCATGTGACTGAGAAACGCTATAAAACATTTTTAATTCCAGAATTAWACACAAAGAACAAAACATTCCCCTGGGGAGGGGGCAGAGGTAGTTAAGATAAAATTTACTTACAAAATTTCCATTATCACCCATAACTGGATCACACACTGTTGATCAACACATAATAATTTGAATAATAATTACAGTAATAATCATCATCACCACTATCATCACCATCATAATTGCATTTAAGATTTAATACCATCATCCAAGGGCGGATCCAGTCAAAATTTTAAGGGGGGGGCTTATTAAGTTTAGGGGGGGGGTAATTGAGTTTCTTCCGCCAACACAACAGAAAACAATAAAAAAAAGCATCTAATTCTTCAGTTTTATTTTCTGGCCCTCCTTTGCCCCTCCTGGATCTGCCCTTGTCATCATAACCATCATCACTGCCATCATCATCTTCAACATCATTATCATCATCATCATCATTGTATTTAAGAATCATTACCATCACCATAATTGCTATCATCCTCTATATGGCAACACCAATATTAATTAAGTTTGATTATAGAGGATAACACTCACCAGTAATTCAACTCATAAACTTGTGGTYCTGTTTTAACATGTCTTGTTAATTAGGGACTGGAATGCCACTAACGTGGTCATTCAGCCACGTAAAGGTCTAACCATTTAGAGATGTAATTATAAAGGCAGCAACTTTTCCTCAGATTTTTTAAGACCCTGAGKGTTAGTCCAGTCCAACGCTCTTACCAATTGAGCTAATATCATCATCACATTCATCCTTATCACTAGCACCATCATCATTACCACTTTTATTATTATTATATTTAAGAATCATTACCATCACCATCTCATTAATTCATGTTATCATCACCATTATCACCTAAATCATAATCATTATCATAACCATCATCATTGTTGTCAAAACTATTTAACAAATAGACATCAGTTTTTKATGTGTCTGTCCTCTTATTSACAATAAATTGCRTCATCACATTGTCAAAGTAGTGTGGATTYACGAGGYGTAGCCGACTCGTTGTAGCGCGCGCTCGTTGACGTCAGCTTTATCTGTCTGTCCTCTTATTGATGATAAAAAATAACCAATCAGCGTGCGAGGAATTTGTAAGTTATTGTAAAAAAAACTATAAAATAATTTAAAAAAAACAAGAATGCCAGAACATACCAAATATTAGATTGGGATTTGCATCTCGCAAATGCTTCACAACTTCACGGACTTCTTGTAAAAATGACTTGCAACCGACATAACCTTGGAGTGAAAGGTACAGTACAAATCAAATACCAATAAGAAAAAGAAACGGAAATCAAACCTATAGGGTTATGTATAGTTAAAATAAATAAGCAGGAGTGTTTTAGACCTGAGACCTGTTAGAAAACTCATTAATAATTCATGAGGAAAACACAATAGAAATCATGACCATGAAGGTGATTTTATATCTGACATAGATTCGTCTTCATTTGCATAAACTTTAACTTGGATTTTCTCTATCAAACTTCGTTCATTTCATAAAGAATTCTGTACAATATGAGAACATACATCAAGAGTTTTCTAAGCCGTTCAATAAACTCGCAGATCGTGTTTTATCGGGTCTAAAACCACTCGGCTGCGCCTCGTGTTTTATACCCGATAAAACACTCTTGCTCGTTTATTAAACAGTACATAAAACACAATCTGAGAGTTTATTGAACGGCTCCAAAAATTCATGAATAATTAATGAGCATTTAGGGTCCTAGMTTATTTGTGACATGCTCTTGTACTCTTTTGGTCCTTTATGAAGGTTTCAAAATCTCAGACAAAATCTCAGACAAATTTTCATGCAAATTGGCCAATCACGATTGAGTATTAAAACAATAGAATCTGTCCAAATTTTCACATTTTTCTCTTTAAAGTCATAATATTTTACTTTATACGAGTGTGTGTATGACAAGAAGTAAACAAGAAACAGTTTAAAACCCAGAATTCACTGATTCATCTGTTATGCAGCATTAAAAATATGAGTTATTGCTTTGAAATTTGTTTGGGTGACCTTGGTTGATGTAGTCACACTGTCATAGTAAGAACCTTCTGATCTTGGCTTCCTTGCTCAATCCTGATGGGCTCATGCATGCAAGCTGGAATGCTTTTGTTYTCTTATTGTATAATATGATTGGTTGTTGAGGGTCGTCATAGTAACTTTACGTACCTGTTAATAAATGCGAGTAGTGGTGTATGTCGTTTAGTTTTAATCCATCAAACAATTCTCGGAGTTCGCTCGCATGAAGTACTTGCCCTTTATAGTATTTATAGCCTAAGAAAATTAATAATAATAACAACATCAAATTGATTTTTTTTTCAATGCTGAAAAAGTCCAAACTAAAAGATTTGTCATTGGGAAGGGTCAATTTATAATTTTTGAAAATTATGCTCCCCTAAATTTACTTTCGAAATAAATATTTGCCAGCCTTAAAATGTGTCACCTTTTCCCTTCAAGGTATAAAATGAACAGCAACTAAGGGATGCATTCCTCTTCATGAATAAACGGACAAAAGACACGACCAAATCTTTCATTAAGGCATAGTTAAAGCAGCGCAATGGTTTGGAAACTCCATAGAACAAAGCTATTGTTTTGTGTTTGATGTTGAATCGTACCATCACGTATGGTACACAACAAACCAAAGCAAGTATTGCTAAAAATACTCATTTCCTTATTATTTTCATGTATGAACATTAAATTTTAAAAATGAAAACTTTCATTCGATGACCACAAACTATGTGGATAAATATTTCTGTGCAGATAAAGTTAAGTTACTAGATAATAAATAAGAAAGCATGAAAAAAGGCAATTTCCTTTTCAATAAATAATTTGTATTAATCATATAGGATTAATTAACAAGTAATAATGACTATTTATATTCCCTAATACTGTGAACAAATGGAGCAACTTTTCCTTCTCTGTGCACAGTCAACGATGGATAAAGACGAACAAAAACATAGAACAATAGGTTCCCCAACCATTCCGCTCCATTAACTATGATCAAAGTCAACCAACAAGGGGCTAACACGTCACATGCACGCCAAGAATACAGGGACGGAACCATAAGATAATTGAGGGG